CTATTAGAATAGGAATAGGAATAGAAATAGAAATAGGAATACTAAATAGTATCCTACTTGGTAAAGGATTGTATTCTAGGGTCTATAAATAGGGTCTCAATGTAATAATGTAGACACAACAACAATTCAATAATATTCTTTTTCAATATTTCTCACATGGTATTAGAGCCTCTATGATCTTGGTAAACAATTAAAGTGCTTCCGCTGCCGGCGGGCGGCTATTACTCATATATGCCGCTCGTCTGGCCAACAATTATGTTAGCAAAAGTTGGTTCACCGTGTATATTTCCGGTGATTATTTTCTCATATTTGATTTATGTAAGCACCGTGCCATCATTCCGGTGACTACTTTCTTATATCTAACTTGTAGCACCGTGCCATCTTTCCAGTGACTACTCTTTCATATTTAATTTGTGTAGCATTGTGCCATCATTCAAGTGACTACTTTTTCATATATAATATTTGTAGCACCGTTCCATCCTTCCGGTGACTACCTTTTTTTGCATATCTGATTTGCGTAGCACCATGCATCTTTCAGGACTATTCATATTTAATTTGTGTAGTATCGTGGATTTTTCCAAACTATTTTCTCATATCTGAGTTCCATAGCATCATGTGTCTTTTTAGTGACTCCTCGGATTTGATTTGCATAGTTCCATTTGTCTTTCTATTTGATTTGCATAGTTCCATTCGTCTTTCCGGTGACTCCTCAAATCTGATTTGCGTAGGGTTGTGCCATCAGTCCAACCCTACCTGTATAATTTTTCTTTTTCAGTAGGGTTGTGGCATCATTCCGACCCTACCTATATTATTTCTCTTTTTCAATGGGATCGTTCCATCTATTCGAACTATCCTATATAATTTCTATTTTCTAGTTGGATCATGACATTATTCCGACCCTACCCATATAATTTTATTTCTTAGATTGTGACCAATTTTAGTCATCAAATCTAATACTCCGGCATATGAGCATGTTTCAGGCAGTTTTTCGGTGACTTGTTTAATATCGACTGTCTATTGATTCCAACATGAACCATGTACTTTATACTAGCTTTTGAACACTTTCAATGTTCGCTGCATTGTGAAGAAAGTCTATATGGAGCAACCACCTAATTTTGTTGCTCAGGGGGAGTTTAGTAGCCTTGTATGTTGATTACGTAAGTCACTCTATGGTCTGAAACAGTTTTTGCAAGCTTGGTTTGGGAAGTTCCAACACTGTAATTTTATCACTCTGTGTTTATCGGCATTATGCATCAAATTCAGTATTCATGAGAAGATCAAGCACATTGAAATTTATTGTCAATTTTGTGAAGTCGAGTGATCAACTTGCATATATCTCACCAAGCCCCTCATCGGTCCTCATGTTTAATTACATTTTGCAACAAGCTAGGTACATGAATTGTATGCACTAGCTTGAGGGGGAGTGTTAGAATATGAATAGGTTTATACAATCCTATTAGAATAGGAATATGTTTATACAATCCTATAAGAATAGGAATAGGTTTATAGAATCCTATTAGAATAGGAATAGTAATAGAAATAGAAAATAGGAATACTAAATAGTATCCTACTTGGTAAATGATTGTATTCTAGGGGTCTATAAATAGGGTCTCAATGTAATAATGTAAACACAACAACAATTCAATAATATTCTTTTCCAATATTTCTCACAGAAACTGCTCTCAATTTTATTTCCTTGTCAGTGGAAATTCCTTCTCAAAGCATCTAGAAGTTTGACCACCTCACCAGGTATAGGAAAAAGGGACATCACATAAGTTGGTAAGGAATCTAGCACAGGTTTATTAAGGTGACTCTACCTCCCAATGAAAGGTATTGAGACTTCCAAAGTGCCAACTTCCTCTCAGTCTTCTCAATAATTCCATCCCAAATAGTAATGGCTTTTATGGTATGCTCCTAATGGCTTGCCTAGATAGACTGTTGGTAGCTTCTCTACCTTGCACCTCAAGATGTTTGCTAGTGTTTGAATCTATTGAACTTCTTTTACAGGAAGGATACTGCTTTTTCTCCAGCTAACCTCGAGTCCAGAACAAGCCTCAAAAACTACCAGAATCACCCTTAAATAGCATAACTGTTCCTAGTTTGCTTCACAAAACCCTATTGTATCATCAACATACAATAAATGTGTCAACTCCATACTCTCGTTTGCCCTGTTTCTTATATTGAAGCCTCTGGTCCAATTATTTTGCAACGCTTTTCTCATTAAACTGTCAAATCCCTTCATAGCTATAATAAAAAGGAATGGAGATAGAAGATCCCCCTGTCTAAGTCCTCTTTCTATAAGGTAAGATAATAGTTACTTCATAGGTTACTAGGATTAAAATACTCTATTCGTAATGCTCCCAGGCACCAATCCCGAGGTCTTTTAACCCCCCAACCAGACTCTCTCTCCCCCCTCTCCGGTGGTCCTTCTGACCACCGGAAACCTACTAGTCCCTTCTTCCTTTCTTTCCAAGCTTTAGACGATGGAGAATATCATATACTTCGCAGTGGGTTTCAAATCCTTTGACATCGAAAAGATCTCAGGGACGACAGGGATTTGGTACGAGTGGACTGAAAGAAACAGAAAAACCATCACAAGTACTTCCTTCAGCAAGAGATCCATGGAATAGATAGTCCAGATTCTCAGAGAAGCATCTAAGACGCAAGGAAACATAGTTCGAAGATGGTAGATGGAAGAAGACAGAAGCTTTGTCGGAGATCTTTTGTGTGCAGAACTACAATAAGTTTGGAAGATACATCAGACTTATAAATTTAAGGGGGAAAAGGAAATCAGTTCTCATTATTCCAGAAATGACTCTCAACTCTGGATGGGTGGATATAGCAGAGAAGCTGACAAGATTCATTAGCACACACAGGATGAAAAATGTCATTGAGGAATATAGGCTAACTGATAGCAATATTCCTTATGCAGAGATGGTCAGAAGCTTTAAATGGGCAAACAGAGATGGGAAAGACTCGAAGGTTGACTTTACAGTTAAAAATGGAGGAGTAATCAGCATTAAAGACTCCTTAATAACTCAAAATGAAGTTTTGAAGAGAAGTTTGATGGGTGAATTTAATGCCTCTGTAGTCCTCTCTGAAGTCAGAAGGTGGGCTTCTAGTCTCTGGAAACAAGCACATGGCTTAAATATTTATGAAATGGGGAATGGAATGTTTCTGTTTGAATTTCAAAAATGACCGCAGAACAGGTCATGGAGGGGGATTGGCACTGGTTGAAAACTCCAATAACGCTACAATGGTGGAATCCCTTAAGTGGAACCATTGAGAAGAAGAATGGGCCTGACACAACCTGGGTCAAGATAGTGGGGCTCCCACTCCACCTATGGACTCACAAGGTCTTCAAATCAATAGGTGACCACTGCGGGGGATGGGTCGAAACAGAGGAGGAAATAAGTATTCGCAACCATCTAAAATGGGCAAGACTCAGGATCCGTGGTGACGGCAGTAACATTTCGAGGGAGATAAAGATCGAAAATGGTGGACTGGTCTTCACGATGCAAATCTGGGTCGAAACTCCAGTGAAAGTGGAGGCCGGAGAAGATAAGCAAAATAGGTCCTTTAGCTAACAAATATTGGGGGATA